GAGGCGTGAAGATCCCGGGTGATGCGTAGCCAAGTCCATTTGGAAACACGTAACTTGCTTGCACTTTGGTGGGAGCCGCTACAGGGAAACTTTTGAGGCTTAAGGAGATGGTTTTAGCGTGTGGCCGTTGCTCAAAGGTATGTCAGAGCATTTAATGAGCCCAAATAGCCCACACGCAGGCTTTGGGGATCCTAACAGGATTACACGAATATTGGAAATCATCAATTTGCCTTTACCCAGGAACAGGCCAGAGTAAGGTCATTGCTTCCTAGCGCTTGCCAAGAGAGGACGCTGAACATATATAACATTCGTGGACAGCTGGTGCCTGCCTTGCCAGCTCCATCTGGTTATCAATTAATAAGGAAATAATAAGAGATGTGATTTATAGCGGCACTTCCAAATCCATCACGAATCCCACATTGTGCAGTCATTAAACGTTGAATCGGGAAAGATTGATGTCATCTGCTTTCCAGATTTCGAGCTGGTGCAAAAAATGTGTTCCCTAGAAACCTGCTGCAAACATGGGGATAAACGCTGGGGTCGTCTCGTGGCAGCCGCGGGGTCAGCGAGCCGCATCCTGCAGTGGCTCTCAGCGGCCCTGGGAGCAAAGTCACTCCTGACCCCTGCTCTGTGGCTAGCAAGGACCTGGTGGCTTTTCCCACTTCGCTAACGCGCCCGTTGTCTGAGCAGCGGGCTGCAGGAGTGGGAGAAAGAAAGGTGTTTCCATGCAGGTCGGGAGTTAAACAGCCGGGCGCTGGGTCTCGGGGTGAAGCAAGCTGATTGCAGGGGTCCCTCGCCCTGGGTTGCCTCGGCAGGGTTAAGCCTGTTCCCTCTGCGCTGTCCTGCCTTGTGCCAGGTGCTGTACGAGGACTGCCGGGTGGTAGACGTGCGCGCCCCGTATGTGCCGGGCTTCTTAGCCGTCCGCGAGGGCCCCGTCCTGGTGGAAGCCGTTCAGAGACTGCGGGAGCAGGAGCCCAGGCTCAGCCCTCAGGTGCGGTGGGTACCTCTTGGCGGGGAGGTATCCCCTGTGCAAGCCAGAGGGCCCTGGCATGGTCGCGCGGGACAGCATGCGGACCTGCTCGCTCGCATGGGGCTTCCCCAGCGCTCGGTAGCTGACCCGTCACCTCGCGTCTCTTCCAGGTGCTGCTCGTGGATGGGAACGGTGTGCTCCATTACAGAGGTAACCGCCGCGTTCCTGCCCCTACGCTGGTACGGCCGGGGCATTCCCCATGTGCATCGCCAGAGCAGGGCAGAAGTCCTCCGTGCTGACCCTGTCCTGTTTCCTTTGACCCTCTCCTTGGCAGGCTTTGGCGTGGCCTGTCACCTGGGCGTCCTGACAGGCCTGCCCTGCGTCGGCGTGGCCAAAAACCTGCTCCACGTGGACGGCCTGGCCAAGGATGAGCTGCACAAGGAGCAGGTACAGCCTGAGCTGCAATCCCTCTTTTCCTCTCCCATACATGGGGGCCGGAGCAAAAGCCCTGGCTGCGGGGAGTTCCCTGCCGCCCCGTCCTGGCCTTGCCCCGCAGAAGGAGCCGTGGTAGCCACGTGCCAGCTGGAGAGGGCTTGTTCCCATTTCCCCCCTGGGAGTGCAGGAGGCACAGTAGGCTCAGCAATGGGTCCAGGGAAGTGCGACTTCTTCCCTGAGATCAAGAGAATAAAGGGGCTGGAGTCGCCGTGTGCTGGCTGCCAGCTTCTCTGCCCGGTGCCCAGTGCCTGGTGCCCAGCGCAAGCTCCACCAGCAGCAGGCAGAGATGGGCTACACTGGTCCTGCTGCACCTTGGCCAGAAGAGGAATGGCTCCGGGCGGCCGGTTCCTTGGGTAGGGCTCTGGCCGTGCCCTCACCCAGAGCAAACTGATGCCAGTGACCCAACCCTAACCCTGCAGCCTTAGCAGCGGTCACTGCTCTTCTTCCTGGGTGCTGGGATCTGCTCATCCCCGGGTCCTGGCTACCCCTTGCAGTGCCTGCCCCTCCCTGCACATGCTCCACCAGGCTGGTGCTGTCTCCTGGGGTGTCCTGGGGCAGGGGGGGCTACTTCAGTGCTAAGTAGAGACCCCAGCAAAACTGGCTGCATCATCCTCCACGCCCCAGACAGGCTCTTCCAGGGCTGCCACCTGCCTGGCGGCTCCTACGTGCTTGTTTGTTCCAGATCCGAGACCTGCAGACGGGAGGAGACACGTTCCGGCTGATGGGTGCCTCGGGCAGGGTCCTGGGCATGGTGAGGGCACTTTGACTTGCTACGGTGCAACTGTCTCTGCATCAGCCCAGCAGGGCCAAGCCTGAGCTGGTGCTGAACCCGCTCCTTAAGGAAGCCCCGAGGGGTCCCCACGTGTGGCGTGCTGTCATACATGACAGTTGTATGTGAGGTGCCTTGTCCTGGTGTCTCTGCCTGTCCTGCACCCTTGCAGCAAAGGAGCAAGCTGCCCAGGGGGGACAGGGCTCTGTGTGGATGGGGGGCTGCCCTGTATAAGCGCCCTCATTTCGGCATAGGGCGAGGGTCACCAGGGTCTTGGGAGACAGACCTTGCCTGGGGGGGGTCCCTGGCAGAGAGGGGCAGGAGAGGCTGGCTCCGCACGTGTGTAGCGGGGCCCATAATGCTGGTCTCTGGTGCCCAGGCCCTGCGCAGCTGCAACAAGAGCACAAAGCCCGTCTACGTGTCCGTGGGCCACAGGATGAGCCTGGAGTCGGCCGTGCGCCTCGTCCAGTCCTGCTGCAGGCACCGGGTCCCGGAGCCCATCCGCCAGGTGCGTGGCTGAGGGGGCTGAGTCCCGAACGGCGAACAAGAGCATAAAGGGGTGCTAGGCAGCTGTGAATGCCTGGGGTCCTTCAACTCGCCACCCCGAGCATGGCCCGGTTTGGGGCCGCAGCCCAGCTCGGGATGTGTCGCCGTATGCTGCAGGGAGCTGCTGGCTCCTGGCACTCGGCGTGGCCAGGAGGTGGCAGCTCTGGATCGTAGCACTGGCACGGCCCCTAGCTCGATGCTAACGAAAACACAGCAAGGCTCAGAAATAAGTCTGGGGAAGCGTGATTTCTTCCCTGACAAGAGCTTCCTTTCCCTCGGGGTCACAGCATGGCCAGGCCCGACCCCCAAGGGAGCACAATGCCCTGTTCTTGTAACGTCAGCCTGGGACACGGAGGTTGTGGTGTCAGGCGTCCGCCCGCCCCTGTCCTGAGCGCGGCGAGAAGACCAGACCCCCAGGCTCGGCAGGCAGGGGCTCATTATCAGCCTTGCAGCATTTCTGGAGGCTGAATTTCAAAGTGATCTTTGGGTGCAGACCAAAAGAGCAATGAAGCCCCAAGTCTCTGATGGAGAGCTGGTCACTTGAGCTCCTGCGCTCCCTTCCCTTCTCCGGGCAGCCTGAAGGGCCCCGAGTCCCTCGTGCCCAGCTGCTCTCGCTGCCTTTTGTCACCTTGTTCCCATTCCCGCACCCGTTGCGGCTGGTCGCTCTGAGGCGCTTGCAGCTAATTAAGGATGTCCATGACAGCAATGGAAACATACCCTTCTTGTGGCCGGTTTGGGGGCTCCCGATGTCTTTGGGCAACGTGCCTTGCAGCTGTGCAGCACGGTGCGTTGTGCAGGTCTAAGGATAGGTCAGACAAGGATGTGCGTGGGCCAATCCTGCTCAGGCAGGGGATTGGACTAGATGAGACCTCCGGAGGGTCCTTCCAGTCCCACTGCTATAGGATGTGTTGGCGCGATGGATTGAAGAGCCAAGGTGAGTAGGGTTGAGCACCAGGCAGGGAGGGAAGGCGGGCGTTGTCGTCCTGCCCCTGGACAACAGCAAGGAGCCTCCCCTTCTCGCTGCCCCAGCACCTCCCTCGGGTAACGTCCCACTCGCTGAGGGGAACTGGGAACAGGAGCGAGGCATGAACCTATTTGCACGCCCGGGGCCGGACGCTGGCACGCTGGCTCCACCGGTTCCAGGAATCGCCCCAAACGCGGGCAGCTTGCAGCCGAGCTCAGCTCTTTGATTCCCTCCGGCATGGGGCCGTGGCGGCAGCTCTCAGGAAGTCAATACCGTGCTGCAGTGTCAGCAGGGGCCGTGCACCAGCTGTGGGGACTGAGCCCTGCCTCCTGGCACAGAGGTGCGTGGGCCCAGGTCACACACCGTGGACCCCAGGCAGCACCTGGATTATGTGCAAGGGGGTTCATTTGCATTCGGAGACAGAGGTGGCCAGGCTCATGGGGCCGCGGGTGACGCAGACAAGGGCAGCGATCTCTCAGAGCGAGCGCAGGGAAGTTCATTATCTGCTCCAACAAATATTTGTATCCTGCCTAGCCTTGTTCCTTGAGTAAATGCCAGGCCGAGGTGGGAGAGCTCTCCCTGCAGTGTGGAAGCGCGCACCCCTGGTCACCTGGGGATTCAGCAAGTCCCTTGACAGGGGTCTGGTCTGGGGAGAAGACAGCATGGGCACGGCCCAAGCAATCGGACCTGGCTGGCAAAGCGGGTCTAGCCAGTGGGAGCATGGCTCTGGGGCACACGCTGCCCCTTCCCGGGATTCAGCACATGCTGGGCAAGGGAAGCTGTGGTTTGAGGGCTGCTCCTGGCTGGGTGGCATAGATGTGCTCTAAACCTTCCCCTCTCTGTTTCTATGTCTGGGTCAGCCCCCAACTCCCCGTTGCAGGAGCTTCCTTAGGCCAGCATGGGTGTGATGGCCATCCATACGCTGCCTTGGCCAAAGCACCATCCCAGCACTGGGCGGGGGCCTGGGACCAGCTCTGATTCCTCTGCTGTTGGGCTGCACACCAGTGTCTTGCTCACTCAGCACTCCTCTTATTTTGCAGCATCTCAGCTGCAAGAGGAGCAACTCATGGGGCTGCTAGTAGCCCACCGAGATGGGGGAGAGACAGAGGAGCCAGGATATGAATGATTGGCTCTGCCTTGCGGGGGGAATTGCCCCGAGCTCCAGCATCCCCTGGGCAATGGGTCTCCTGCGCTCTGCTCTGGCACTGCCCGCCATTCCCAAAACAGCCGTGGCAGGACGGCTGGGCCCTTAATGCCAGCACTCGTCCCCTCTGAAAATAGAAGCGATCTGCAGGGATTATTGCAGCGCACGGCTCCAGCTCGTTGATTGGCCTCTCAGTTAATAAGCTGGGCTCAGCCATCTGCACGCAACACTGGGAGCGAGGGCTAGCAGGTGACTTGCTGACTAAACCAGCATTGTTGGGAGGCCGGCCTTAGGGTTCACTCCCCGCCCCCAAAAGCGCCTAAGTGCACTTGGCTCCGGCTGCCCAAGTCTCCCAGCAGGACCTCTCTCCAGCAGGCTCTTTCTCTTGTTATAAATTCATCCCATGATGTCTGAGCCTGCAGGGTGATCAAAGTCATCTGTCAGCTGAGTTTTGAAACTGTCCAATTATTGGGAGAAGGGGAGAGGGGAACGTCTCCCAAACAAGGTGCCCCATCTGCAATGGTTTTTCAGGCCCAGGGATGTGGGATTCGTGAGCAGCTGCGCACCTGCCACTCCAGAAAGGACTGGCTGAGTCCTGGCAGGGTGGGAGAGGACTGGGGGGGCAGGGAGGGCATCCTCATGAACAGGACAGTTACAGCCCCCCACCCCTGAGTGTTTCGAACCCAGTTCCTTGCACACTCGGCACACTGTCTTCAGTGGCCGCGGTGCTGGGAGGGCAGTGTGTCATGCAGCCATCTCTGGGTGGGACGCAGCAGCCCTGAGCAGCTTCTGCACTGTCTTTAAAGAAGGAGATATGAAAAGCAACTTTTCCCAGGGAAACTCTGTGGGAGGGGAGGGATTGTCCGGCAAAGCTGGTCCTTGGCCAGGAGCTCGGGGCTGTCACCTTTCTGCTAGTGAAAGTGCCTGCTCCGGTGCTACGTTGATGCACGCTGGGGAGGTCGGGTGTCCCGCGGGGTGCTCTCATGTCCAGGGAGCCCCTTTGCAGTAGAGGGGAGGCATCACTTGGTGCCTCTCCCACCTCTGCAGCTGGTCCCATAAGAGAGAGCAGCAAAACCCCGTTGCTTCTGGCCTGTCTCCTGCACTAGCCCAGCTGCAGCAATGCTCCAGGCCGGCTGGCTGATGGGGGCTCCTGTGGGGCTGGGGGTCATTCCTGCCTGGAAGGGGGCAGCGAAATGTTCTGTTTCTGTTCCTCCTTCCTGCTCTTCTCCCATCAGCAACCACTTTCAGGCCAACTGAGAGTCCGTCCCGACAGTGCTGTGAGCACGTCACCGTCCCCAGGCCCAGGGCCATTCAGAGCCCCTTCTCCTGCCTGCAAGCCCTGGGAAGGACTGGTCAGTTTAGTCCTCAGCTGTTTCTAACCCATCTCCTCTCCCTTTCCAGGCTGATATCCGCTCCAGGGAGTACCTCCGGAAGCACCCCCCTTCTCCAGCTGGCACCGCGCTTCCTGGCCCTGAGAGGTATGTGCACGGGCAGCCCGAGCCCCCGGCCTTGGGAGCGATGTCCTTGGCTAATTGCAATACAAGACAGCTGGGGGGACCGGTTGCGATGGAGCAACAGCAGGATGCAGGAGTCCTGCCAGGCACGTCCCTGCCATGTTGTGCCTCTTTCCTTCTGAGGACCGTGGTGTCCTGGGGGGGAAAAGGTCATGGGGATGGTGCTGCCTTCCAGCATTGCACAGTGCTGCAGCCCACGCAGGAGATGCAACAGCCGACCAAAATACCCTGCCGGGAGCAGGCCCCATGTCTAGGCAGGAAGGAGAGGGCCAGCCCCGCACCGCCAGGCTCCTTTCAGTGCCGTCGTGCCCGTGTAAATCCAGAGCACAAGCACAGGGCACCTCTACTGCCTGAACACCAGCCTAGTTCGTGGTGGGCACGTCTGTCTCAGAGCCCGACGTACCCCAGAGGGGATCAGGACTGGACCCAAAGGGCCTGGTTTTGGAGTGGGTGGAGCGAGGGGCAGGCAGTGGATGGAGGTATGGCCCCATATTTTAGACTGGTCCTGCTTGGAGCAGGGGTTGGACCAGAAGTGACCTCCCGAGGTCCCTTCCACCCTCATTTGCTATGATATTCCTCACCCAGCTCTGCCAGCACACCTCGGGTCACGGCTTCCCTCCGCGCCGTGCAGCGACCGGGCTCTCACCACCTCTGCCATGCTCAGCTCCTCCGCGGTGCTGCGGTCGGCCCTAGCTGCGCCCATCTGGGTGCCTCCCCTTCACCTGTTTTGGAGGAGGTGGTGGGGCAAGTTCAAACTGGGACTGGACACATTCATGGGTGATAGATCTGCTAATGGCTGTTCAACAGAGATGTTTCCCCTCCCAGTACATGGGGGTATTGCATAGGGGAGAGATCCAGTTTGGTGCTCTCCTCGTATAGCATCCACCCCTGCCACTGTCGGAGACGGGACCCCAGGCTAGATGGACCATGGGTCTGACCCTGTCTGGCATTGCTTGTGCTCTTGTGTCCCACCTCCCTGCTGTGCTGGCCCTGGGCAGATGCTGAGGGTCGTGCCAAGCCATGCTGGGTTTGAGACGCCAAGCTCTTGCTACCAAAGGGGAGTTTGGTGCCAGTCTCTGGAGATGATGCCAGCCGCTGGTACCGTGGGGCCAAGCAGCATCGTAGCTGTCTGGCTTGTCTTCTGCTGACCTCCCCTTGTTCTGCTTGCCAGGAGGGACGAGGGCACCAAGCCTAAGCACTGACCTGGCCCCAGCGAGGTGCAGCAGAGCCCCTGTGTGAGCACGTGCCTTCCCCGAGCCCGAGCCCTCTGCTCAGCCCGGGCGCTGTCGGACACGAGAGCCAGGGAGCTTCCAGGTGTGGGACCACGGGCAAACCACAACCACGCCTCTCCTGCGCTGGGCCAGAGCCCTGCTCTCAGACTGTTTGCAAAGTCTGTATGATTTTAAAATAAATGCAGCAAAAAAATCAGTCCTGACAGAGCTGGGTGGTGCCTGGCACTGGTTTCGGACCAGAGCCCCAGATTTCGGTTCGGGGGCACAGAGCAAACGGAGTCGAAAAGAAGCCAAAGCCACGCGTCTGGCCCCTGTCTCCCGCCATGCGGCACCGCAGCCGGCACGCTGCCTGCCGCTTCACACATCTCGGGGGAACAGAAGCGCCGTCGGCAGCTCCGGCTGGTCCCGACAGACGGGCAGAGGACGCTGTGTTTCGGGTGGGCGTGTAGCTCGCAGGGGAGGGCTGGAGCCGGCAAGCTGCTGCCTGCATGGAGGAGGGGAGAAGCTGGCTCCGCAGTGGGGGCTTGGGATGCTCTTGGCCTTCTCGGTCTGCAAGGTCCTGCCTGGCATGTGGTCCCCTCGTGGCTGCTGAGCAAGACCCATTTCTTCTGCAAAAGCCCTTCAGACCTGTCGGCCCTGTGGGACCCTGCTCGAGACCACCACTGGCAGAGCACCCGCGGGGAGGCTAAGCCTTGGGGCCGTGTCACAGCAGCCAGGGACATGGAGCAGGGCTTCCCGAAGGAACGAGCCTCTGCAAAGGGGCATCTTGTCGCGAGGGTCTGGGTTTACCCCGGGGGGTGTCAAGCCAGGTCCTGACGGGACTGGGGGGGCTGACAGAGCAGCGGGACAGGTCCCCGGTGCCTAATGCACTAATCCATCAGGCCGGCTGTGAGCTTTTGCATTAGCAGCAGAGCAGAGAGCAAACAGCTCTGATGCCTGAATCAACACAGCCGCGGCGTCCAGCTCGGGCCGGAGGGACAGCTCTGTGGCCGGAGGCAGCAGGTTCTTCCCCATCCATTTTGCTGGCAGGGACTGGACGTGGCCTCTGTCTTGGCTGCAGCAGAGACTTGGGCAGAGCTGGCTTCAAGGAACATCGGCGGGAAGGAAGGGAGAGTTGTTTAGGGGTCCAGGCAGGGCACCAAGGACCCCTGGGTTCTCCCGCAGGCAAGATGACCCCACTCTGTCCCTGTCATCCCGTCCTCTCCCCATCTCTGGTGCCCCCGAGCTGCAGAACGACCCAGCTGGTGCATGCGTCTGCATTGCATGCAGTGGTGGGGTGCAGCTGCATAGCCCCCAAGGATGACGCCAGCGTGAGCTAAGGATAGAGACCACCAGAGGCCTTGACAGGCTGGGCGACCCCCGCTGCGCACCTGTAGGAAGGTGCCAGCTGCCCACAGACCTCCTGGCTATGAGCAACCAAGGGAGGAAAAGATCTGGGAGGTCGAGAGCCACCGACTACTTGACTTTGAACCAGGAGCCTGCAGCCTCCCTGGATGCCGGTGGTGCCTCCAAGCCCGGCTCCCCCAGGGCTGCCGCGTGGGTGGGCAGGGAGCAGGAAGCAGCGAGTGTCAGGGTTGCACTGAGATGCTTTGATGGCAGGGGCGAGTGTGGGATCAGAGAGCCCCGGCTGGCAGGGGGGAGAAGCCAGGCCTTTGCGTCGGTGCCCGCATGCTCTCCCGCGGGGACCGGGGCAGGAGGCCAGCCGCACCGTGCGGAGGGCAGCGAACTCTGGTTTCCCGGTCCTGGTCCCCAGGGAGCAGCTTGGAGAGCAAACCTGCTGACAAGCTGCACCGCTGCCTGCCAGCTCACAGAGCGAGGAAAGGACTGAACAAGTGCTGCAGCCTCCTCCGCAGCCGCCCCCTCCAGAGCGAGCCACGAGCAGGCCCCGCGCTGGCAGGGAGCCGGGCGGCGCGAGAGGCCGTGCAGCTGGCCCGGCCACCTGCGTGCCGATGCCGGCCAAGCCCTTGCACCCCGCGGCCCCCGAGTGCGGAGAGGGGGTAGCGCCAGTGACTCATCGACACCGGGGAAGTGGCTGTTACGGGACAGGAGGGTAATAATGAGCGCCGGTGGAGAGCACTCCTTGCAACAGCACAGACGATCTGGCATGGCCGGCCCGGGCCAGCTGTGCGCAGCCGTCAGCGTGCCAGGGCTTTCAGGTGGCACAGCCCCGTGTCCTTGGGCCACAGCCACCCATCCATCCATCCAGCTGTCCTTGGCAGAGGAGGGGGCTCCTTCGGCCCCCCGCTGCAACTCCCCGGGGAGCTGCCCAGTGATGCTTTCCCATGTGGGTGCATTTTATCCCCAGTAAGACGCATCCCTGCAAGGCTCTGCCTGCCAGCGACTCGCGGTGCCCCTCTCGAGGCCAGGCTCCGGCTGCTGGGCCCAGTGGGCAGCAAACAGCTGCTCCCCTCACACATGCAGGCTTCTCACGGGCATGGGGGTGCAGAGGGGGACGGACAGCACCTCTTGCCCGGTGCAGGGGCAATGCAGGGCTCTCCAGAGCTAAGAGCATGGGCTGCTGCTGCTTGACCTCAAGAGCCTGGAGCAGGGTCCTTGCTCCCCGACAGCTGCTGGGGCACCCACGTGCATGCGCCTGGGGGAGTTGAGGGCCCCGCCGAAGAGGTCAGAGGAGCCCTCCCGCAGGCTCCTGCCTGGCCTGGGTTAAGGGAGCCAGGTGGGTTTCTTGCAGTTGCTGATGCAAAGCAGTAATCATCGCCAAGGGCTGGGCTCTGCTCTGCTCTGCTCTGCTCTGCTCACTCCCAGGGCTTCCCCGGTCTCAGTGGGGCCACGTCCTGCTACAGCTCTTGGGCTGCTCAGGGGCACTCCCCAGGCAGACCGCCCACCCCGCACAGGCTCCGTCAGGACCCAGGGACCTGAAATCTCCTCTGGGACACCGAGGCGCGGGCTCTGCACCCTCCAGGCCATGCTTGCTACTGGGTGTCATGCTCGCGGACCACACAGGATGCCCCGTCCCAGCAGCAGAGCAGAGGCAACACCGTCGATGCCTGTGCAAGCTGCCCTGCCTCACTCTCCTCCCTCCCCCGGTGCCCTGGTGCAGGCCCAGGGGTGGAGGGCAGCTCCTGCAGTCTTGCCCACCTTGCAGCTCCCAGCCAGGACCTTCTGCTTGCAGAGTCACCATGGGGTTGGTGCCCCACTCTACGCCCTCCAGTGCAAGAGCCCAGTTGGGCACGAACCCACCTAATGGATTTAGCACCTGCATGCCCCATGCCATCAATGGGGCCTATGCTCTGAACCCCCTGGCACAGGGCACCGAGCCCCTCCTGAGCTTCCTGCATCTTTCAAGGAACGGCTTATCCCAGGATTGTCCAGGCTTCCCCCCAGCTGGGCCTTATCCCTGCAGTTCAGTGCAAACTAATCTCCATGGCAATTAATCCCGGCCAGCTGTGCTGGAGCACATCAGGAGAGGGCATTTAGGGGCTGGGGGGGGGGAGCTGCCCCAGGAGCTGGGTCTTAAGACTCCTACAAATCAGGCTATTGGGCTGGTGGACCTGTGACCTTCAACCTCTGACCTTGTCCTGGCTGGGGGAGCAGAGCTCTCGTGAATGGGGCCGTGCCACAGGAGCAGGTAAGTGTCTGGGGGAGAGCTTCTTCCGGCACCGGTGACGTAGCCTGTGGCCGGTGGGCATAGGGAGCACAGGAGGGTCCTGCCCCGCTGCAGCAGGGCTGACTTCTCCAAGGGCCCTTGGGGCCGTCTGCCCGCCCAGCTGCTCC